GAGATAGGCAGCAGCGTCTTTTTTAAAACATCTCAAAAGTTTAACTGCGGTTGTCAATCCGCAATAATATATATAACAAATCATCAATACAATTCCCATATACAATTTTTATAGTAATAGTTTGATACAATTCAATTGCCAATATTTTAGTAGACCATATTACATTTTTTAAAAGCATTCGATGTATTTTTCAATACTTCGATCTTAAATCGATGTCGTCATGCGATGTATTACGTGAAATAAAACATCGAAATTATTTTGTAATGTCCACCCATACTTCCATTTTAATTTTATTAGTATTGAAGTTCTATTTATTCTATCGTCTGTGGAGCGAAAAACTGCTTGTTGTGAAGCAGAATATATATATAAACACATTTATACATTTGGGGTATCTACAAAACATGTTGTGTTTATCAATGCTTTCACGAACGACATCACTTTTTTTGCGGAAAAATATACACTTGTAAAATATCGGCTGTGTTGTCTAGGTATGTTATCTTCCTAGTACTTCTTATAGATCGAAACACAAGCAATATAATACTACACTCCCGCGGATTTGCCCACGTGATTCAGTATATAAACTTCACACCCTTCACACCATAGATGGCTGTGTTACACTTTATTCCTCAGGTATAGCAACACATGAAGGGTTTAAATCGGCGACACAGTACACTCTGTTATGTCCATGGTTCTATAGGTTACCACTTTCCATCAGGTGGGCCATCAGCTTTTTACCATTCTAAATAGCTTAAAAAAAGCTACATATTATATTAGACATAAGTATATTTATGTGTAACATTTCACACAAAATTCTGTTCACCTGTATAAGTGTAATTATTTTACGTGGACACTTCATCCAACACCATCTAGTGTGACCTAAGTAAAGCTTATACTATGGGTACTAGATAAATGATAGAAATACTTTTTTATTAATACATTTTTTAGTCCCATCAGGGACGTAATTACAACTTTGCCTGCCTGATTGAGCGACAAACGTACAAATATCTTAACTTTCACATTAATTCTAAATAGAAAAATAAAAACTGGTAGTATTAAAATGCACTAAATAATCTAATATAATTTTGATATCAAGAAAGCCCTATTTTTTAATGTGTTTAATGGGTACTGACGATGCACCAGTGAGGGGTGGGACGACAGGTAAGTATGTAAATAGAATTCAGTTAGAATAAATTCAAACATAAATTACGTTTCAAGGGAGGACCGCGTAGACATCGATTTGACAATGTCTATTGGAGTTGCTAGACCCCATTACTAACAGTTCTTTCCCCCCTCAAGAAACCTCTGTCGATAATTGAAAATCGGATGTTTACTAGTAAAAATAAGATAAATTTCGCGTTGGCGAGGTTAAAAGGTAAGTAGGCGGGCTAGTCGGTCTGGCCAGTCTAATAATATCGTGGAGGAATCTAAATTGTTTTAAACGAGTTTATGGAAGAATGGATACAAGAATCATTATTATGTTTACTACTTGAAAATATATTCAAGGCAAATTGCCTTGCTAGATGTTGAAAGAAATCAAATCAACATTAATAGCGCGCGATCTAAATATTTTAGTATTTATTTTGTTCCACACTGCATTATAGAATTGTTATAAGTGGGATAAAAATATATATCAAAAGACTAGCTGTATCCTATGGCTTCACCCCTGGTCGTATCATGATGTTAAATTATCTATAAATTTCTTCAAGAAGTAAGCCACCAAAAGAAAAAATTATCGAATCCGACTGATAGTTCCAGAAATTAATGCGTTAAAACAAACAAAGAAATAAAATCATCGTTTTTTTCTTTTATATTAGTATGGATTTGTTAACGCCTTTAAACTGTACCCATTGGTTTGTAATATTTTCTTCTTTACAGAATATAGTACAAATTTATTTGAAAAGTGTCTAAATAAAAAAAATATATTAATGTTTGCCAATCGTCGTACTAGTGTTAATGATGGACAGAAATGACGAGTAGGAAGTTAATGTTTTATTCAAGATTTCATTTAGATATATATTTATCTAAAACTGTTTGTTCAATAATATAATTGATCTCAATTAAAATGTAAATTGTTGTATTTTTAAATTGAGATACTTGTTTTTTGTTATTATAGAGTATTTTATCGATTTTTCAATCGACTTCAAAAAGAAGGTGGTTTGTTTCAATTTGGTTGTATTTTTATATTTGTTACCTTATAACTTGCACATCAATTTCAAAAATTCTTTTTTTTATCTGAAATGATATAGTTATTGATTTCTTATAAATTTTATCAAAATCAGTTAAATCGATTAAATAAAACTAAACACTTAGTTTTTAAATCAAAATAGCTGATTTTGCCACTGATGAAGTTGATTTTTGTTTGTGGAAAACAGTTTATCGTAATTCGAGCTACCGTAGGAGACTGATACTTGAATAAAACATCCAATTAATTATTTTGGTTATGAAATAAAGTTATTATTATTATTATTAATTACCGATTCGTTGAAGTATGTTATTTTTCAAGGACACTATCATTTTAAATATGGAGAAATCCTTACTATATTGTAAAATTAAAATTGATAATTTTTTTATTTCCTCTAAAAATGTACTGAAGAATTTCTATTCAAATAATATACAGACTTTTAATATACCAACTAAATATGGTATAAATGAAATACAAGATACAATTTTATCATTATTCTCATTAAAAAAAATCATAAAACAAAATATTTTTTCAATAATCGCAAAAATCCCAAACACACAGTTATTACATAAATATGGCTGGACCATCTTTTTTCATGGTCTGTTAGAAGTGAACGAATCTATGATAATCTAAACATTCAGTTCATGGTTATAGTATCATAGGTAAGTAGTTGTCAGTTCGCGTGAATCACGAATAGGAATATGGACAGTGTAATGATCTTTACGTGTTTATCTTCATTCCGATTTTATGATTGAAATAGTATTTTATTTAAACCTTGGCGCGCACATATATTATTTACAAGTTTACATCACAATGCTTGTATCAAATTACATTCAGTGATAGCAAATTAAAATAGTCATATACCCATGATGATAAAAATAAAGTATCATATAACATGCATATGTAAAAATATATTCGAATGTAGCTCTTCATTTTTGAAGTAAATTGAAAGGAAATTCTGCAAAGAACATGTTTCGAAATATGATACTAATAAATAGGTACTAAGCCAATAATAGGTAATAATACAAACCCACCAGAGGGAAACTTTGTGTCGATTGCTTGAATACCTCTGTCCCATTCTTGATTCTACCGTGAAGCAGTTTTGTTTACATGACTGTGTTTCGGTTTAAAGAGTATGATATGGCAGTGAATTTACAGGGTATGGAGGTAGAACACCTTACTCCTTAGAAAATGGCAACGCATGGGTGTATCATGGGCGAAACAATATACTCTGTTATGTCTATGGTACTACTCATGTCTATAGACGGCGGTTACCGCTTTCCATCAGGTGAGCCGTCAGCTTGAAACAAAGGTACCTTAGCAAACAACTTTTGTACAATTTGTCCCTCTGGTGAATACATAACTCCTGTTGTTAATAATCTTTCATTAGGGGGGAAAGGGATTGTTAATAATGGAGACTAAGAATCCCATTGCTAACAATACACCCAACCTAACCAAACCAGGTCGACCTGCCTCCTCGCGGTTGCCCCTGGAAACTATCATTATTAATTCCAGATGAATTCATCATGATGGGCTAACTGGCCTGTTTTCATCCTCATCGATCACCATTCACTGGTGCCCCGCCAGCGTATCCCGTTAGCGCAGGCGGAGTTACCATTCCATATTCATCCAATACAAAAAAAATCTTTCATCCATTCTTACTCGTGTATACCGTTTAGGTAGAAAGTTACAAGAATCTTTTTTTAATAAATTTCGACTGTGCGTTGATCTAATTTCTACATTTATATAGGTACTAGTATATGTAGGTATTAGATAAACAGAGCGTGTGCACTTGCGCGGTTGTTGATCTGAAGAAATAAGGGCAGTATGTACCTTATCTTATACTTACTACAAATTTTAAGCAAAATTATGCTAATTAATGCATGCATGTGACGCTTCTGAATTATAACACTTTGTTTCTTATGTTTTTGTTAACTTTTTTATATGTAACATAATAAGACTTGTTTTTTAATGAAAGAGTCTCGACAACAGATTTGCGTCATACAATTATTACACTAGGTATCTGTGTTTTTTTGATGTGTGTGTATTTATTATAATTTTTATATCAATTCGTGGAAATTTTGAACTTTATTTGGATAAAATTAAAGTATTATTTTAAAATGTAATACATTTTAAATAAAAAAAAAAATAAGAATTTATTTTATTTATATTTCCGCCAAATCAGAACTTATATTGTGTAGGTGAATGTCCTGCTGTTGTCTCTCTTTCTAGCCTATATATGTATGTTATTTATTTTTACACATTTACATTGCCAATTTTTACGTAATAGACAGCAGTAAATATAACTAGCAATAATGCAATGATTAGTTTACGTATCATTAATACGAACTTTTTGCAAAATAGTTTTATTTCAATAATAATAGCAGTTATATAACTACAGATTTTTGGATGTAAACCATCTTCAATCTCTTCAACTCATTTAATCCAATAAACATCATCAATGGAATCGTTATCAATGGCGAGCCCCATGATTTAGAATGAGACAGGACGTCGCTACTTCTTTCTATCATTAACAGATTCACATACCACTTGTCTAGAGCCTATTGTGTAGGTATATGTAATTTTACCTACCTGCTCCATTCTATAGACCCAATACGCCAGAGAATATTTAGAATTTAGGAATAGTAGCTATATACATTATTCATCATTGATTTTTTTAATAAAAAAAATAAGGTGTATTTGGTAATTATAAAAAATCAATAGAATTTTAAAACTTGTATATCTTTGTTGCAGCCTCCCACATTCATTATACTTTTATATTATTCTTAAATGTAAACATTAGAAATAAAACAAAAACATTGTTTATTTTTTTATTTAAAAATAAATTATCGCAGTACAACTTGCACCAATAACAACAAAATTTTGGTTTGAACAACATGAAACCGTAACGTTCGCTCAAAGCATGAATCAACTTATTAATATTGCGCAGAGAATAATTAAATCATTACCTACTACTACTAGGTGCGATATTTGCCATAGGATTAAAGTTTTATTTATAGGTACATAAGAATACGTAAGACATTTTTGTCATGTGAAATTCACTAAGCATACACAAAATAACGGAGATTCAAATACTTTATCCTGGGTTCGTATTGTCGCGTAAGATTACATAGATGCGGGTTTTTTTCGCCGATATTCCACAAAACAAAACTTCCCATTGTATACATCGGAGTCCACGGACTCGTGTGCAATGCAATTCTGTTTTCCATTCATGGAGGTGTTAGTACAATCCCAGTTAAAAGTAAATCAATTACTCACAGTAAAGATATTACAAAATTCTTCTTAATTCAAATAAACATAATAATTCTTGCACCTTAAATTATTTATAGTAAATGTCCGGTCAATGCGCCTGTTTGACTTTTACAAAATATGTTTGGGTTGAAGGCACGACATAAACTATAATATCGAGTATTTTCTCTACTTAAAACTATATACTATTTGCACCGAAATTATATATGTATGTAAAAATTTTACTGTATTTATTACTCTCACTCAGAGTCGATAAAATACACATAATCAATGTTTTTTTAACTATAAGAGAAAAGTAATAATTCGTGCTACGCATGAGAGTTGACTATATAAATTCTATGTTTGCGTCTAGTTTTCTGTTTATATTACTTAAAATTTACCTAAATCTATTATTGTAGACGATATTTCCTATAAAACTTGTAATATCATTGCATATAAAATTGTCACTAGAACCGGCAATTTCGTTTGGATTTTTATAGTTAATATTAACTTCCGCATTATCATAAGTGCCCATAAGCGAGATGACCTCATTTACAAGATCCCATTATCCCTAGTTAGTAATCTGATATACGACAATGTACTAGGATAAAAATAACTAGCTGCATAGTATGAATTAAATATCATGATATTATATTAAATGGAATATGTTATTTTTATGAATTATAACGAAATTATAGATCAATTTAATAGGTCATCAATCATTTTACTCACTAGGATAAAATGAGATTTGATAGACTTTACAAAGGTACATGTGATGGTCAATATTTCAGCATTAATGTCTGTATATATTTTTGATAATTACTAATTTTTAAATAACAACTGTCACCTTTTTCCCTCTTTGACTGTAAATTTGAAGACAATACAGAAGCTTAAAGGGAAAACTCTGCATAGGTGACCCCACTATGTTACGACGTAAACAACCGTAAGGCTACTGTCAAAATTTGATTTTAAAGAAATAATTGTAAAAACTTATAAAACTCTGTATTCCCGCCTTTTACTACAGACTAAAGCAAAGATAAAATTTGTTTACATTATAACAAAATGGCGCCCCTTCAGGCAGTAAGCATAATATAATATTTATATTATAAATTGACAGGAAGCTTCCCTATTGTTTCATAGTAATGTTGACTTTTTATAATAACACAGCAACTTACAGGATGAAATATACAAATCCTTATCGCGTTACGATAAGGTTCAAAATTTCATGTCTTTTAGTAACCAATGGCCTGGTATTTTTGTTGCTGTCTGTAAACACTATTACAATCTGTGAGGACGGCTATGCTGAAAATGTTAAATACCTACTAAATGTGTAATTAGGGCTGAAATTATATTCTTAATTTTTTTTTTATTTTCTACTCATGTAGGACTTTTACTTAGTATCAAATTGTTACACAACTTTGAAAATCCAAGATGGCATCGACGATCCGCCGGTAAAAAGTTGATTGTACTAAACGAATATTGATTATACATATGAATAATATGTAATAAAATAATAAAATGCATGCATTTAGTAAGATTTTATATTTTAATTGACTATATCAGAAACGATAGTTCCTTTTATTGCCATATAAAAAAGACTTTTGGATTATATAATAGAAAATCCTTACAGTTTTAGAATTGAATATCAAAATCGACTGAGCCTCTACAGTTTCATATATTTTCAGTCAGTTTTTGTTGGTATACTTATTATTTATTATATTTAATAGCGATAGCAAAGTGAATAGTGACTAAATTATAACGAACACATTGTACTGTGATAGGATACTGAGTAAAAAAGACTTGTGACGTCACACGCCCCTAATAATACGTATCGGTGTCGATTCCTTGTGCCACAAAACTAATGTGAAATTAAACTAAAGCTGTCCTCTTCTGACCACGAATGAATAAAAAGGACGAATCATAGCTATACGAGGTCTGTCCGGAAAGTTCGTATAAAAGTGTTCTGGAATGCGAGAAAGAGGAGTGGGGAGGCCAGGTAAGCGCAGGACCCCTTCCTTATGTCCCTAAGAATGCTTCAGTTCTGGTCTGACCGCCGTGCGGTGCGAACTGGCTTGTCACGCCATCTGTGAAGTTACCTCTTAACGAAACCCCGTCGGCATGGAGCCCGCTTCCGTTGAAGAGCAGCGCGTCGTAATCAAGTTTCTCTCGAAACTCGGCAAGAATGGCCGTGAAATTTTTGCCGATCTCAGAACAGTTTATGGGGATGATGCTGTGAAGGAACCAACCGTCCACAAGTGGCTAAAAAGATTCAGAGAGGGCCGAGAAATGTTGATTGTTTTTTTCGATGTTCGGGGGATTGTCCATCAAGAATTCGTCCCTCCAGGCCAGACAGTTGATGGAAAATTCTACGTCGATGTGCTCAGACGCCTCAAAGCTCGTGTGGCACGAGTTCGTCCAGAATTGGCGCGAGAGGGGCGTTGGATTCTTCACCACGACAATGCCCCTGCCCACACCTCTCTTGTTGTTCGTGAGTTTTTGAGTAAAAATTCCATTACGGTGACCGAACACCCCCCTATTCGCCGGATTTGGCCCCGTGTGACTTCTTCTTGTTCCCAAAAACCAAATTGGTACTTCGGGGGCGGCATTTGGGGGACATAAATGAGATAAAAAAAGCTACGACGGGGCAGCTGAGAAACCTACAACCAGAGGACTTTCAAGGAGCCTTCTCACAGTGGAAACGGCGTTGGCACAAGTGCATTATGTCACAGGGGGAGTACTTTGAAGGGGATAAAATTGATTTACCTGAATAATTGTAAAATAAAATTTTTAAAAAACTTTTATACGTACTTTCCGGACAAACCTCGTATGTAGTAATGTGGTACAAACGAATTGGCATTATTTTGTTTTAATAAGGCGGACGTACTTTGTTTTCATTTTAGGGTAAATTTAATGTGACTCATTTATTAAACACTAGAATCGTCACACGATGCGTCAATGTAATTAGAAGAATTATTCCCGCTTATTATTAATAAGGTAAGGTCGACCAAATAGAACGATGACTCTTATTGGAACTCTATCAGTCTAACGTCTCATCGATGTTAATAGTAAATACTAGTAAATATTTCGCAACATTGCTGCAAAAAGGTACTAAAGTCATATTTTCATTTTATCGACTGTTTATAAAGTGTGAGAGAGGAGTGATTACAGAAATGGCTGGTAGAAAAACATTGAAAACAAATGATGATTTCTATGAATATGACACTGTTTTCTTCACTTTTATTTACCTTATAATACAATTTCAGTATTCAAACCAATCACACACATTAATCGTTCTTATTTACCTCATTAATTAAAAAAAAAAGAATATTTCGAATTTCAAAATTCCTAGACTTTTGAGACATAAAGTAATAATCACAAATTAGGTACAAAGACACTAAAGATAAACTTTATCGACAACGTACGCTGTTAGTTTTATAATTATTATTAAATTGCAAAATTATAAAATAATTTATGCAATTAGAGTATTTATTTTAAGTACTTCATTCAAAATAATTCTTTCAAAATAAAAAAAAAGCTCCCGTATATTTTTTTTTAATCACCTTAATTGAAATACTATATACACTGTCCATTAAAGTGTATCTGCTTTCAAATATATAATTCTGTTGCAACAACTCGTTTATATTAATTAATGACAGAAATGTATAGAATTATGGTAAGTGGATATTTCTTTAATATTAAAATAAAATATATTTTATAGTTTATTCTGTAAAAGAACTAGAGTGAAAGTATTATTGTCACATTGTAGTTTTAGCATAAAATTATTAAACGGGAATTTAGTATTTAGTGCAATAATTATATTTAGAGAAATATGCAGATGACACCATAATGGACAATTGGTCTTATCTATCTTACGTCAATTGTTCATGTCCGTCCATCTGATTAAAACAATTCCGACTTCAGTACTATTAGTACATATTTCTATACTAAATATATCGAGCGCCATTGTTATTCGAGCTGTTTATACATGTCCTCTATCTGGGGTTTGAAGTAATTTCTGATCTCGGGTCTCTTCGCTTTCAGCGTAGGGGTCAGTAGGCCGTTCTGTACTGAGAATGGATCGGGGTGAAGGTATATGTCTTTGACCTGAAAGTAAATAATAAAAATTTTAGTTAGATTAACATTACCATTATTGTATGAGCTATTATTTGTTTACTGCTGAACATAGGCCTCCGTCTATGTATGTACTGTCCCCGTACTCTATAACTTCATTAATAAATCCCATACTTCAGACAGAAATACAGCTTTTTAATACGGGCCGTATTCTAATTGTAGCCTATATAGAAGCCTGTAATACCAGGGATATTATGCGCGATTTGCCAACCCTTAAGAAACCTTAATATGCCCTTTTTCATCAGATCATTCCACAGTCCGAGTATTCAAGGGATGAAGCTCCTCTGAAACCGCACTGTGCGTGACTATTCTGGTTCTAAGGTCTGATGATGGATTCCCTGTTGATAGTAAGCGGCACAATGATGAAAAGTGTCTGTAGAGATCATATCGAATAGTTTTTCAGAACAGAATTCGTTAGACAGACTAAGTACAGCTGGCTGCTTAGCAAGAAAATTTGAGTGGGACAGAGGTGCCTAGACAGCATTGATATAAAGTCTCTCTTTTGACAATGTGTTTATTTCCTTACTTGTTCAAATGTCTTGAGGCCAGCTGTCCTGCCCCATTGCAACATGTCATCCAAAATGACCTTTTTAACTTTCTCGTTCTCGCATAGGGCTGAGAATGTGCCCTTGATGCCGTTTTCTAACGCCCAGCATTTTACAACGTCGACGTCCGGTACCACAACCGCCACAACACACGACTGAAATATAATAATTTATAATGATAATCTATGTTTACTCAGGAGTCTTGTACTCTTTTATACGTAAGGTATGCATGCAAAGTACTCCTAAGTACTGATGACGCTATCGCGATAATGCAGTAGCGAAAACGTATCTATCGTTTGCCATTTTGCAGGTCAAATCATGGTGAATTAATAACTTGAATAATGTGGAATAGTAATTAAATGTACCCATACAATGTAACGGTAGGTTAAGTAATGTACTTTACAATATTTATAAAAACCTACAGTATTTTTTTTAAATTTTGGTTTGTAAATACAGTAATAATAATAATCAATCGCTAATATAATTATAATATAAGAGTTACAACAGCGTACATGAAATAACCTTTCTCATAATGTTTGATAATTTGAGAACAAATTAAATGTAACTTTTACCTTTACAATATTTATAAAAACCTATATTTAAAATTTTAAAATGTTTGTAAATAGTTATTACGATAATCAACACACTAAAACAATTATAATATAATAGTTAAAACGGCGTACATAAAATAACCATTTTCATAATGTTTGATGATCTGAAAACAAATTAAATGTAACTTATATACAAATAACTCACCTTTAATGATTCGCCATGTACAAAAACTTGTTCGACGTATTGACTTCTTATATAAATGTTTTCGATTTTCTCAGGAACTATATATTCGCCTTGCGATAATTTGAATATGTGTTTTCTTCTATCAATAATTTTCAGTGTACCATTCTGCAAATTAAAAAGAAAAAACATAACGCCTTTTAATGATTTAATATTTTATTAAACGATTTTCAACCGACTTGAAAAAGAAGGAAGATCTAAATTCGATTGTTTTTTTTATATCTGTTACCTCTTAACTCTGTCAGTGGTAAACCGATTTGAATTTTTTTTATTTACACACTTTCATATTTTACCTATACTAAGTATATATAACAAAAAATCAACAGCAACATAATCGTGAGAAAATAAATGCTAACTCACTGAACACCACTACAAGATGAAATGTTTCGTAGAAATATTAGATAAAACATATTTTAATTTACAACGCAGGAATTGTTCATCTACGAGTATATATTTATATGATAATTAGGGTTATACGGTTTTCTTTTTAATGGCGTCTGATTAAGAGTAGATAATACGTAGCAATATCTATATATTTTAGTTACAATATCTAGTATCTATATCCAAAACATGATGTTGAAATGAAAAACCCATTTAAAGTGTACATAGATATCCACGATAGCAAAATAGATGATATTTTTATTTTCCGCCATCAAAGTCCAGAGGAACCTAATATATAGTTATTGGAGCAATATCGATATTATCTATGCCTATATGGGAAATGAGTAAGTAAAATATTTAATTCAATGTTTAAACGTCTATATATTTAAAAAAGAATTACAATTTGCAATTTATACTGCGCGCGCAACCTCGCATGCGCTGTTATTTATAATTTATTTTTCTACAGAAATTCAAAAGGTATTTATAAAGGTTTGTTATATATACAATATATATATAGTATACTATATATATATATATATATATATATATATATATATATATATATATATATATATATATATATATATATATATATATATATATATATATATATACGCCACACCTACGTCTGACTAATGTGGTAATACCAGTCTATTGATATTGTAATCTTATAAGAAATGATCTGTACTTAGTAAAGGAGCATTAATGAGTTAAAAAGATTATAGTTTCATACTGTTGATGATAAATTAAAACTACCAACCGGTAACCATTTGCCAACGTCTCCGGTGTGATGCCAGCCATCTTGGTCGATGACTTCCCTAGTTTTCTCCGGTTCCTTGAAGTATCCCTTGAACACGTTGGCGCCTTGCACGCACACCTCACCTTGGCCCTGCGCCGCGTAGTACTCCATCTCGGGCACATCCACTAACTGAAAAGTAAAGAATTTTATTAAATACCTTCCCGAAGTGACAAAAGACAAAATCCGTATTATAATCAACCTTAAGAGAGTGTTATGTTAATGAAGCTGAATATTCTCATTTCATTTAATATCTATATTAATTATAATACATAATGACAATGATGACCAGAGGGAGACTTTGTACAAAAGTCGTTAACTTGGGCACCTCTGTCCCATTCGTGTTTTTACCGTAGAGCAATTGTATTTGGAAGGCTGTGTTTCGGTTTGAAGGGTGGATTATGACAGTGAATTTACAGGGTACAGAGGAATAACACCTGAGTCCTCAGGAATGGCATCGAATGGGGGGTCATGGGCGAAACAGTATATTCTGTTATGTCCATGGTACTGCCCATGTCTATAGGCGACGGTTACCACTTTCCATCAGGTGGACCGTCAGGTTATTTGCCGTTCTAAGTTGCATAAAATAATGCAATTATTTTGTGATGTCCACGGAGTTTATGTTTATAGCCAATAGCAACACTTTCCATCAGATGAGCTATCAGTTTATATCCAATTCCAGGTTATTTAAAAAATATGTAGATACCTTCACTTTACAACAAGCAACGGGAGGGCCGACATGTTCAGGCACGTGGTCGCCCTGAACAGTGAGAGTAACCGGCGCGGTGCACTCCGTCTGCCCATAACCTTCCACAATCTGTTGATACAATTAATTCATTAATATCTATATTATTTTTAAAAATTCTAAACAATTCTTAAAAACGATAAAAAAACAGTGAGTTCACTATTTCACGTTACATATGTATACAATCACTATTATTACTACCTTTTTATTGATGCCATTTTTGTTTATGTATTTCTTAATTTTTTATTTCATCAAATTTTAATTAGATCATCTATATATACATATTGATACTTATTATAAAATTGGATAAGCGTTTCAAGTAAATTTTTCTAATATACTTATTTCATTCATAAGACACTATACGAGTAACAATCGCCTTTATTGATTTAATGATTTCAATAAAGTTAGTTTTTAAACTACCAAATATTTTTTATTAATTAATTGGTTAGAAAATAAATAGTAGGAATTTATTTTAATAATGAGAGTTCCCTGTGATAAAAGAAAAAATAATATTTTGCGCAAATATGTAGTACTAAAAATCCCAAGTGAATCAAGAGCAACATTTCTTGATAAGTCATTATCTGGCCTTGTCAAAGATATTGTTGTGGCTAAGAAATCTGTGTATTTATGGAAAACGCCCAATTCATAACATTGGCTTTAAGGCGAATCATCGGATATATAGCTCTTGGCCGTTCTCCATATTATCTACTGGATAAAGCCACTCGGATCTGAACGATATGCCCTTGATTGTGTAAACAAATCGAAGGAAAGCTATTTTAATTATGTTCAAATATTATAAACAGTGCAAGTGGTGCGAAATATGTAGTAAACTACAAAATATATGGTTAAATCTTAGATTATGTAGATAGAATGTCTCCATACAAATACTTCGTAATAACGTATCAACTTTTTCATACAAATTTGCGTGATAAATAGTTATGAGTGATTCCTTTATTTTAGTGATATTTATTTTATCTTATAAATTCTACACCTTTTAATGCGCAAAAACTCATTTTATTTATTAAATAAATAAATATAGAATCGTCAAGATACATTGTGTGCGTAAATATAAAGAACATTAATAAAAAAAAAACAGCTAATTTGACAATTAGCTGACAAATATTTGACCAGTTTTTGAGGCTTGACGCTTTATCTATATAATCTAAGGGGTAAATACATCGGCAGTGGACTAAAAAAAACACGCTTATGAATAATGATGATGGTAATAAATAATAACTGAATTTTTTTTTAAGTATTTTGCATTTTTTTTTTCGCTGAAATCTTTATTTAAAAAAGTGTTTTCTTTACAATTAATGATGCTATTTATGTCTAGGCAAAAGTTACTACTTTGCGTCAGTTTGGTTGTCAACTTTTTTGCCGCTTTAGATTACATAAAAAAAATAACTAAGTATTATACTTTCAATAATAATTAAAATTACTTTTGTATTTAGAAGGTTTTAGTTTTATAAATAATAGTATTAGTTGTTAATTTATTCTAGCAAAGATGAATTTTAACAAAGAAAGAGAGAAAGAAATCTAGAGAGTTTTATCTTGAAAATGAAATACCAATCAGAATTTTCTATAAAAAAATCACATAATCTACAAATTGATGTCAAATGAAAATCATTGAACAGACATCAAATACATGGTAAGAAAAGAGCTATTTTTCAATTTATTGTATCATCGATTTGATCACATTTTAATTGCCTTAAAATTACCTCACTAAATATGACAGAGTGTAGAGAAGCGGCATAAATAAAAAAATGGATAAAAGAAACTCACGAGACATCCAAGAGCGCATCGTGCGAAGGTGAGTACGTTGCCAGCAAGAGGAGCCGAGCCGACCACCATTAGTCGTAAACGTCCGCCCATGCCCTCGCGCACCTTACGGAATACCAGTTTATCCCAGATAGAGTCAGTGCGGATTATGCCTCTGGGAATCAGCAAGAAATTAAGAATTATTCTTAAGTTATACATTTACTAATATTATTTATAAGAGTAGGTTCCTATCTACCTATTTTCAACTAATATTTTTAATGTGACAATTTTTAATGTTTTATTTTTTAAAATCTAATATTCAATTACGGTTAAACCACTAAACACTTTTGAATTAAATTTAGCATGATACCAGTTAAATGTAAATTTAAATGTTAACTGGACTCCTTTTTCCGTTTTTAACTTCTTATTTGAGGAATTAAGGTACTATTTATTCTTAAGTCTTTATTTATGCTTTATCGTCTGTTACGATTTCAGGCAGAAAGATTTAAGTGCTAATGTTCCAACGTTAATGATTTTATATTAAAATAAATAAAACAAGAGGATCAAGAAAAGATATCTACAAGGACAGAGGTATTTGGCATTGGGGACTCTCTGCTTACCATGCAAGAGAGTCGGCGTGAATATAGATCTTAACAACCAAACAAATGTTCCTTTCTAACTGTAAACAAAATTGGAAATATTTGCACTAAGAATTATCCACCTACCGTTTTAATTCAGACTCCTTAGCTGATAATGCCATATTGAACAGTAGCTTTTTTATCTTCGAGTTTGATATTTCAGATTGTGCCTTATCGTAGAGCCTGTTAAGAAGTCGAGGTACAGCTGGGATCATTGTTGGTTTCAGAGCACTCAAGTCGTCTGCTAATCGGCGGATATCTCCACTATAGAAGCCGACAGCCCCGCCTACCATGTATACGGAATTCTGGAAAGAGGAAATTACTTTTATAGTAGGTAACAAATGAATAAGTCAGAGAATTTAAAATTTCATAGTTATATACTATCTAAATAAATATTTATAAGGAAACCTCTGCACTTCTAAGCACTGCTGGTCTGGTTATGAAGATACTCAAGAAATCAGAGTACGAAATGAAGAGTCTAAATTAAAAAAAATATACATACGTTCATATTCGACACAAACTATCTGTTATGACTGATTGTTAATAATACAAGGATAAGGATAATTATTCCCCTACTAAAGATACAAATATGAATACAGATATGAAAGCGAATTTGTTTGTTTGTTATTTCTTGGTATCGTAATGTTTCAACTAGTTGTCATGAAATTTGATATGTATGTAGTAATTAAGATGGAAATGGGCATAGACTACTTTTTAACACAATCAATCAATGCATATAGCCCAGTCACGCGGATCAGATAAAAATTAGAATAATTATAAAAATGCGTCACTAATATGTAGAGAAGTATGAAAGATGAGTGATGTCATCCTTATTGATTCTCCGTGGTTAAATTTTGCAGCATTTCTGTTGCTAATGCCAAGATAAACACAAAATTTCCGTTTAGTTATTTTTTTCTTATTATCAAAGAAATACATTTTGGGAGAAATGTAAATAAGAGTAGTTATATTTCCTGTTTTTTTTTCTACCCACAACTGACGAATAGTGTAATTGTCAGTAATTGTCCAGGTGTATTATTTCATAAATATTCAAATTATACATTTTTCAGCATGAAGTATGTAATATCTTGTTACAATCTGTACACAAAGTGTACAGAAAATAATAAGCATTTCAATTAAAAATCCAGTATTGATATATTTGTATGTTTTATAGTGTCTTGCTTTTGATATGATTTCTCAAATGTGAACTGTGAGAAAATATAATATAGCATTAAGTAAGCCTTTTATGCTATAGTCTTTGTGTAAATGTACTCAATAAGGAATAAATAAATAAGTGCTCAACGTGTACGCAGTCAGGTACGCGAGTGGTCGGAAAATTAGTCGAGCATTTTTGACAAACATACACGTAACTCATTCCGTTTATTCTTACAGTTCAAATTCGTATTACGTTAGAACACTATAAGACTGGCATTTGAGTTTAGAATAAAAGTTTCTATAACAAAAGATAAGAATAAATCATTTATTATATATACATATATTTTTATGTCTGTAATGTAAAATACTTCTTTGTTTAATCAGTAAAAACTTTATAATAAACCCACCTCGCAACATCGCTCCAGCATATGAGCAAGTGGTAGGAAGGAGATCATGACGTCATGCTTTGACGGCCTATGTTCGCCCAGCTGCATGTTCACGCTGCACATTGACGCGACCACATTCTCGTGCGTCAGCATAACGCCTTTTGGCATTCCCGTAGTTCCTGAGGTGTAGCAGATTGTGCACACGTTCTCTGGTTTCGGTGGCTAGAATAATTAATTAATAGAAAAAATAATGAAATATTTTATGTACGTAACTGTAAGATTTTTTGAACTTCAAATTAAGTAAAATATAATTTTATTTTTTGAAAAAGAAGATGTTTATAAAGTACATTTTAAACAAATGTGTGCCTATCCTAAGGTATAAATGAATTTACGATTTCGAATATATATAACTTTTTCAATTAGGCTAAGCTGACGTCATAGGTTATAAGATGCTTCAATCCAGATATGAAATTTTGATATCATGAATTTTTAATTTAATTAAAAAGAACAATAACCTACCTACTACAGAATTAAGAATACAATATATCACCACTCCTTATAAGAAGCTTGCTATCAAAAGAAAACAAATACCAATGCACTATATACTTCTTACAGTACAACTTTGTACTATTATTATATTGTTACGGTATACCAAGCCATCTGGCCAACAGTGGTAACAGTAGCCGCATATCTTGATCTTATGGGGAGAGAACCACGCTCACTAGTGGAAATTTAAGAGGACAGGGACTTAAAAAATAATACTTACAATACAAGGATGATCCTTCTGAGCGCCTTGTATTTCTACATCGGTAAACTTAAGGATTTCCACGCCACGACTCTTTGCTCGTTGGTGCGTCGAAGGCGATACCTCTTTGATCGTGATAAGTTTCCTTAGACATCTTGGCGACTGATCAAGCAGTAGATTAGCTTTTTTATCGTCTTCACAAATTACTACTGACATTTCAGCTGTAAAAAAATTACATAAGCGATGAAACGATAATCATTCTAAATATTCTAATATCATTAAAGGGCCATTGGCGTAGTTCCTTATGTAATTTTAATCACATTAGAGATTTGTTATATTTTGCCGTTACATGAAATTAAGTATTTTAAAACTACTGCTTTAAGTTACGTGTATTTTATTAGAAAAAGCTCGACTAGTTTCGGGACTACCCGGGACTTGGACTAGGGATCTAACGGACGGTCGGATCCGGACTAAGCTCGATGAAAATACATGTGATTTAAATCGGTAGTTATTTCTTTAACATGTATACTTATGAAATTGTTAACAATATAATAATATTAAACAAGAAATAAATATGTTTCTTTTTTTATAAGTAATAAAAAACTACATTATGATTATTAGACAATTTTGGTCTTTACCAAAATTGTATTCATCTATATGGTTTATTTTTCTTTTTATTAAAGGACAAACAACGTAAAAGTCAGAATATAATATTATTTAAAAAAGAGTAGATAAAATTAAAAAAAGTTTAAAATTAAGAGACCAATAGAAAAGTAAAACTACTCGATTGCAAAAAGAATTATCGAAACCGGTGAAGAATTAGCGAAGATATCAAGAGATAACATATTACAATATATATCATGTGATATAAATAAATATAGTCGAATTGAAATCACTTTAAAAACAATGAATGATACAAATAGAAACATGAACGAAAGTGATAAAGCTGATTTTCCATATACATACTTTGATTAACAATGAAGGCACATGCGTTAGCTCCTAACGTGTCGTACAATGGGACAATGACCATTGAATAGCAGTATGCAGCTTGTTCTGTCATGACCCACTCTGGACAATTCTGTGAGTATATACCTGAAATTACGAAGATACTATTAAGATAAAAAGCAACAAGCTTGCTATACATGTAAATATGTAAACGCTCAACTATACATTTTAAAATTCTAAGAAGTACGCTAGAGAAATCTTAAATTGAATCGCTAAGCGTAGCTACATAGCTGTACAGAGCATAATTAGTACTTCACTGAATTTGCCTTTGCACCATTTTTGATAAAAATTCAACGCGTAGAATCTAATATAACATAATTTATGTAAGATAAACTTTACAATATTTAACAATTTAATAGAATACAATATCGTAATTAAAAATCTAATTTAAAACATAGATAATACACAAACAGTATAACTACATAATTACTGGTTCCAGTAATAATTCTCTTAATAATAATTTAATAACCATGACTGCAGATTAAAACTGCTTAAACAGACAGGGAAAACTATCTGATTTGAAAATTGTTCATAAAAGAATAGTAAACTGAAATTTGAGTAGTGTTAGAAATAGTGGCTGCTTTAGATAAGGAATATTAATTGCTCCTGTTATGTTTACTTACCCACAAAAGTGTTTTGACCAGGAGGTAACCCTTGGCATATCAGCCCAGAGCCGAAATTTTTCGCCCGCAGCAATGTTTCATTATAGGTCTGCCATACGTAGGGTTTATTTGGTCCCTCACGCCAACCGAGACAATTGCCATTATCTGTAATTATTAAAATAATACAAAATATTATTTATCAATAGGAGTAACGACGGTAGACTCGCCTCTTACGACGTTGAATTCAAATACAAGTATGTTGGGCGAGATGTAGGCACTTACAGAATTAAGTTGATTACAATGATAAACATTCGACGCACGCCCCTGAATTCTCTTCAGGAAATACTATCGTGAGAATATATTTTTTTTTCTATAATATATTTTAAAAATATATATCTTAAATATTTCTTGTTAATAAATACCAGCATAAACGCATTTGCAGTAAATTCAGTGGAATATTCCACAGGATGCAAAGTTGTTTGTTCACATTTTGCTTCATTTGTCGATGCAATGAATATTAAGGTTTTGTAAAATAAAATTACAAGAACAACTGTCCTGACCACTCTAGTAGCACAAATTACGTTTAACTGTGTCCTGCAAACCAGTTCTTAAATGACGGTAACAATATTTTGTAATATACGAGGCATTATAGTGTTGGTCACTAACGAGCGGAAATTGCGGGATATTATGATTCCAAGAATATACTTTAAAGCATTTCCTATAGTGCATCAATATGTGACATTGGCATTGACATAAAATTTTATAGTTTAAAGTTGTAAAATTTCGAACTGTATTAGAATATGTAATAATTCATAAACACAAATTTTAATATTGTTGTTATAATAATTAAAAAATATAGATGCTTTCTTCAAAAGCTGACTAGTAATTGTGTATGATCTTGGCAAAGAAAACTGCGATTGCCAACTCGCCCGCTAAGCGTGGCAACTACAGGTAAAACCCCCTAATAGAGGGAGGCTTATATTCAGAAGTGGATAGTTAATGACTAACATAAAAAAAAAATATTGGCAAAAAGCTGAGAAAGAATGGTACCTAGTTAAAGTTTAGAGGGCGTTTCTACAAAGATACGTACGTATAAGCACAGATAATATAATACTATATAGAGGATGTTAATATTCTCTTTTTGAAAAAACTCATACTGTAGTTTTTAAAAAAAATCTCGACTCATTCCATCACTTGAACATTTGCGAAAAAAAATTGTCACTATAACCCTTTTGTATATGATAGGTTTTAGAATATAAGGTTAAATATCTTATCGATAGTGATACAATGATAGAAGGTAGCTGGACATCTTTTCAAATTATTACACATAACACAATTCCTTATACAAGTGGCATGATATAAATTATAACAATACTCACTTGATTCCTTAACGCCTCGACGAAAAGTTTCGTAAAGGGTGCGTGTGTCCTCATAAAGATAACGGAGGTATCGGCCATTTTTAGCTTCTTTATAGAATTTTGACACACGAACCATTTCAGGCCCCTGCAACAAGATGAATTTAAATAAGTAAACATGCAAAGCGGAAACGTAATCCTAATGGTATACTACGCAGGAGATTTCCCATTAATTTAGAATATGATATTTAGCTTTACTATAAACATGCTGGCCAGTGTTTTATTTTAAAACTTATTTTTTACTACGCTACTTCGTAAACATGGTCTCCGATGTAGGAAAACCAGTGAAGTACAAGACTCCTATTAGATGGTGTAATAAGATAAAATACAATATATACCAAATAAAAGTTCTTTCGGAACACAACTGTGAGAATTGCATCAAATTTGGGGTAATAGCATTTGTTTGATTCCGTAATAAACATACAGACAGACAAAATTTCTAAAACTTATTATTCTGACCTTTATTGGTCTTATTAAGACCCATCATATTTTCTTATATATCATTATAATATATATCGTCTAGTTACAATTTCATTGGGTATATTATTAATATTAGCCATTTCCTGCGACTTCGCTCACTTAAATTAGTATGTTAAAGACCTGCATGGTTTTTTATTAAAATATTGCAGACCATGTTACGGCCTAATAATATAGCTACATTATCAGGCCATAAAAAGGCCGTATAAAGCTTTATACTCGGATAATATAGAGATATTTCTGTTCATCCAATAAAAACAAAAAATCAAACCTTTCCTCTTTCTAATATTAAATAAAGTATTCTATTAAACTAGGATATAAACTACCCGTTTACTAAATTTCATTTAAATTTATTCAATCGTTTATACATAATTGAGTAACAAATATTCAAACATCCAATCAACTTTACAAATTTTCACTTTTTTAATATTAGTATGCTTTTACTCCTTTTGTACTAGTATATGTTGATTTGTCTCTTTAGTTGCCTTTAACGACGATAATTTAATTAATTACTAATAATATTCATTTTATTAGTTTTAATCTGACATGTAAAGAAATTAAATAAACAAAGAATGTTAAAGTACAAATCAAAAGGTTATTGAACTGAATCCTTTTAACATACGAAGAACTAATCAGCGATAATCTAATTAAGTTTTGTATAAGGTACGTAACATATTACGCATTGTTGAGAATTAGAGTCGAGCTGTTAACATGAGTTTACAAATATCATATTGCACAGTAGACAACCTTAAACAGTTTTATGTTATGATACTCCATGGAATCGTATAAAGTGAAGTCACTAAAATAATATGCAAATAACTCTCCGTTAACCTAATGACATGTTTGGCCCACTAACTTCAAAACTTGACTTTAAGCATGAAGTGCTCTTACACATTACGGTATATTATTATAGTTTGCACAATGATAAATAGAACGATGTTCGGGTCAAAGTCACTGCGGTGAAAGACAACAACACTTTGGTGGTAAATTGACATGTCATAAATTGTTATGTCATTAGGATAATAAATAGAGTAAACTTAGTTTGTGGGTTTTGAGGTCGTTCAACTGTGCAGTTGAAAATATTGAGGTGTATATGATAAGTGTATGTTTTACGAAGTCTTTTTTGGTTGTGAATAGTGTGCTTAAATATAGAAATTGGCATTAATCTCTTGTTTACTGTCATAGTTTACTGTGTGTTATAATTTAATGATGTCATAAATATAGTTTGTAATAAGTTGTTAGACCCTAACACAAACAATCTAAATGTCATTTAATTATTCATACTTATTTGTATTCGTTAAATTTAACGAATATTTACCATAAAATTTAAATATACTTCAATAATTCAATATCTTAGATCATAAGATATAAAAAATATAAAACTTAGGAATGAAATCTGACATATCAACTACTACAATAGATAATTTTATATTTACCGAAACTTATTTTATGATTGCTTAGTAGCAAATAGTAGGATTATAATATAAAACTACATTCTTAGATAGAAGAATTTTTTTTTATTAATTTTAAACAAAGAAAATTAATAGATATAAATTATAATTTATTAAACAATGCGACTCAAAATATTTCTACTCAGTGTATAACTATTTATGTTATTTATGTTAACTATTTATATTAACGAAAAGAGGGTCAATGACTAAAATAGTAGAGCACAAATGTTGATACTATTATTAGTTTACGATGTCCCATTAAAACAAAATAACGGAGAAAATATGTGACACCAAACTACTTGATCTTGAATTAAGTTTGCAAGGTCGTCAGGGAAATTAGTCACACGATGCCAAGTGAAAAATGTGATTGTGAATACTTGTGACTGGGTGTATTTATAAATTGGGTGTGGTGTGGCATAGAAGCTTTAGAAACGTTGGATCTATTCTGAGTTCAAGAGTATATGACAATAGATATAGAGTTGATATCTTCATTCAATTTTCTTCTTAAGCGACTTTTAAAAGGGAGAGGTTAATTTCGCTAGTATAATTTTGCTAGTATAATTTCGCCATTAAGTTATGTGATAGTTTTCTTTGGAAAGTCGGAACCGAATCTAATAATTCTTTTTGCAATCAATTAAAGATTTATTCCAGTAGATGTCAAACATTAGTTTAATCACGAAATTGAGGACATTCTTGTGGAGTTATATTAAATTATAGTCAGACAATACGTTTTTCTCATAAAATGATCATAAAAACACACATAAAATAACATAAAAGACGTTAATTCTGTCAACATATTCATTTCATCATTCTCAAATGTAATATTATTATAAATTTCTTGGTGGTCAAATTTATAGAAATGCTAACTGTTACATGTTCATTGGACCGACTCTTTATTTTATGTTCCCGAGTTAACTTTTCAAGAAAATAATATAACCTGTATTACTAAGTATTAGTAAAATTTTTTACTGTTTTTGAGATGCAACCTTACGGCCTTCATGTTTGCTGGTTGAAAATTATGGACAAAGATATGAAAGACAATAGTTTTGCAACGAAAAGTGTTGATGGCGAGAGAAGTGAGGGAAATTGTAATGGAAAGTGGACCCTGGCAAACAAACCTGAGATTTTTGGTATAAAAATGACAAAAATCCTAGCTTTGATAACCAATCAACTTTTTTACTCATAAAATAACAATTAATTTTTTTATTAGTGAAAGAGCTAATCTGTATGAAATTTATAAAATTTACTCATACCTACACATACATAATTAAATAAGATTATAAAATAATACTTCCTAAAATTTTAGTACAGATAATGAAAATTTTCTAAGTATCTTTTATAAAAATATATAATTCACGTGAACCTTTTCGAGGGACACTCTGATGATACAGCAGACTCTCTTGGCAGATAAAAATATCGTGTCTCCAAATAGTTGACATTGTAGACACGGTTGGCTAGGAAATGTTTCCGCATAACATATGTTCATGAGAAATAACAGTTACTAGTAAATATGCACATAGTTAAGATGAGAATCAGATGGTTATTGTATTACAATTATTTAAAACTTTAATAGTCCACTGGCTTTTAGCCGCGGCTTCGCTCGCGAGTGGTATTCGATTTCTTGCGAGAATTATTTTTCCGTCTTAATCTTAAAATTATAGCTGTTGTTAGCACTTAATAGAAAGTGGTAATTGTCATATGTAAACAAAAACAGTGCCATACAAATCATAAATGCGCTATTACGCTATCTTGCGTTGTTATTCACAAAAAAAATATAGATAAATTGAAAACCTTTTGTTGTATTCGATAATATTTTAAAAATATAATAATTATACATATATATATTTTTATTTCAAACATTCTAAAGGAGTAATGTTGTAAACTGTTTAAAGATTTTAAAAATTACTATTAAATACTGTATTACATTTTTCTTTGACGCGCCTTTCGTTTTGTTCGACACAAATACACAAATTAATTAAAATTCCAAACTCCATTCATTATCTTCACAATACAGATGTACAAAAGATAATTAAATACACAAATTTTTATCTCCGATTGTAGTCTTCTGATATAATTTACCGGAAACATTGGAGTGTTATTAATATTTATTCTTATCTTGAAGTAGTTGATCAGAATGAATTTTATATGTCTGTAAGTTCACAGTCAAAATACAGTTAGTGTATTGATGAAATGGACAGAATACTTCAAAGAGTAAAAATAAAAAAAAAATACACAACAGAAAAATAAAAACGAATCATGCATGGTTACATGAACACTTCCGAATAAAACTGTTTAAAATCCAAAGATTTCAAATAAAACACTGAATGCATTCATAAAACTCAGCACGTTTCATGATTACTATTACAGGGTTTTGGCTTGATATATCTTACCTATTATGACTAATTCTATAATATATATATAGATTAATGAGAATAATCTGATTTATTGCAGTAAATAACTGATAACAAAACATAACGATGCTACAAAGCATTAAAAAAATAAACAAAGACACGATATCACTCATGACTTATTAGCTTGTTAGGAAGATGTAAAATAAAAATTGGCAGATATTCAACAAAGTCACGCGATAACACCTTACGTGGTTATTACTCAATTATAGAACACACCAGTTATGTACTATGACCGCGACTTTGTCCACGTGATCGGTGGATATCGATTGACCGGGATTAAAGTAGTCCATGTCCTTGACAGAATATTATTACTGTACGCCAAATTTCCCGTAAATATCGTGAGAGGCGACTAAAAGAACTTAATGATCGAGAGATGAGCACCGTCCCTCTTAAAACATCACTAAAAGCCAAAATGCGGTTACCAATCCGCCTACCAAGCATGGTAACTACTGACAACTTTCCCCCAATGGTAAACTAACCTAAGAAATGGTCCTGGTTCCTTATGGCAGTCTATGGAGGAGGTCTATGTTCAGCAGTGGTCATATAATGGCTAATATGATGAAGATGACGATTAAGACGCCAAATTTCATGACGATTACAGTTACAATATTAATTAGTGACAAAATTCGGCAGATATTTCCTTGCCGGTACGTATTTATTTAGCTTTATATTTGTACTGTAGATGTATATACATAAGGATGATTTGACTGTGCCACAGCACTGTCTAGCAATAAATTGAATAATATAAC